TATCTTATTAATTATTTTATTTTAAAAAAATACTGTTTATTTAAAACTATATAATATTTTTTTAAATACTAAATCTTATTAGATAATTTGCAGAAGCCTGTCGGTTGGTATATATATATAAATCATTTTTAAAATTTAATATTAAGATATATTATAATAATATTATACTAAATATATTATAACTATAAAAATATAATAGTAGTAATCATAAGCTTTAAAATAGTATTATTTAAAACTAGAATATAATTATTTTTAAAATTAAAACTGGGCTGTTAATAGTTTTTATATATTATTTAATATATTTTAAAATATTATATCTAGCTGCTGTTATTAGTTTTTATAGTATATATTTATTTACTAAAAAAAACACAGGCGTTAGACAGCCGGTTAATAAAAGTAAATATATTTTTTTTATTATCTATTATATTTAGTTTTTATTATTTTTAATTAATTCGATTATTAAGAAGATATTTTAGTAGTATTATAGGTCTTTAAAATTAAGACTTTATTAATATATATAAATATTATATTATATAATTAAAATATCTTTTTAAAATCAGACTATTTATATAGTATATTTTTATTTAAATAATCTAATATTTGTAATAGCTAGAATTTATAATTTTTATAAAAATAATATTTTTATTTAGATTTGGTGTTAGTTATCTGTATATCTTTTAGGCGATATATAATATCAGCTAAATATTTTAATTAATCTAAAGATTAAAGTCTGTGGATGTTATATACTGTAGAATCTTAGTGGTTATATTAATTATTTTTTACTTTAACTTTTAAAATATTTTTAGAATTATAATTTAATATAACTTTAGTAAGATATTAGTATTATATAATTTTATATTTATTATTAGTATATATAGCAGCTCTGGCAGCGGGTTTTTCGGTAGTATAGTAGTAACATATTTTATAAAATTATAAAACTTATTTTTTTTAATATAGTTTTAAAATATTTTTTTATACTTTTAGCTATATTTATTATAAGAATCTTATCAGTTGTAATAGTTTTAGATTATTATATATTTATTAAATATTTCTTAGAAATTATTATTTAAATTAAATATATATAAGTATTATATATAAATAGTTAATATATTAATCTTAATATTTAAATATATATATATTAGATTATATAGTAAAATGTATAAATTAGTATTATCAGCTGTTGCTGATATATATACTATAATAATAAAATTTAATAAGATTTTATATATAATAATATCTAATAATAATAGTTTATAGTATTAAGATTACTGTAGTATATCTACAGATGTAGTAGAACTATCTGTTATTTAAAAAGTAGAATAATTTATATTTATAATATTAAATTTTATTTTTTTTAATATATAAGAATAGTAGAAACGGGTTTTATTTAAAATCTTAAAACCAGATATCTATAGTATATAATAAAAGCAGAGATAATTTTTATTTAAAAAACTAATTAGATTTTTTTATTTAAAAAAAATTATTTTAATATTTAATATTATTAAAAATACCTTTGGATAAACCCTTGCTGTTAGAACTTAAAAAGTAACTTTATTATTTATAAATTAAAATTTTTTTTTATTATTATTTTTTTATATATTTTAAAAAGCGTCTGTAATAGCCTTTTTTATAGTTATATATATAAAATATTTTAAAAAATAATAAAAAAATAGAGTCTAAATTTAAACTTACTTATAGAGTAGTAATTTATTAATATTTAATAAAGCTGTTTACTATTTATATATAATTAGCTGTATTAATATTAGATTATTATTATTTTTCGGCGGCTTAGACCAGATAGTATTTTAGTTTTCTAGTAGCAAGAAAAAACTAGTAGAAAAATATATAAAAATATTTCTAATACTATTATTATAATTATTACTATATATATATTATTTAAGAAACTTAATATTATCAGAGTATATAACTTTTTTAGATTTTTATTTATAAATTTAGAATATATAATTATAGTTATTTTTATAGCTAATAAAATAGCCGATCTATATTTATAGTTTAAGTTTATATTTTTTAATATGTTAAGAATTATTAAAATTAATTAGAATATAGATTCTATAGCTATATATATAAATATATTTAATTAGTATAGTATTAAATTTAATATTAAAATATTTATATTATTTTAAGATTAGTAATAATTTCTTGTCCGGTAAAACCAGACAGTTAATAATATAAACTATTATTCTAATTATTTCTAACTAAAAGTATTCTAACAGACCGGTGTTAATTAGTATGGTTTTAGCTGTTAATATAATATATTATTTATATTATTCTATATGAATATTCTAATAATAGTAATATAAAGCTGATATAAAATATATAATATTTTTAGACTTATACTATTTTCTAAACTTTATAAACTTATAGCTATTATTAAAGTGCTATTCTATAATATATTAACTAGTAATATTTTTATATTATTTATTAAATATAATTAATATGTTACTAGCTTTATTTTTAAAACTTTTTAATAGACGGATCTTCACGCGGCCAGTAGATAAATTAATAAAAATTAAGTAGTATTTTTTATTTTTAAATTTTATAGACTTTAAATATTAAATATTATAACTCTAGATATTTTATAGACTTTGCTTTTTAATTATTAATTTTTATAATATTTTTTTATATATTTTTATAATATTATAAATTCTTTATTTAAACTCCGGCTTACTGATTATTTTATTATTAATATTTTTTATTATAATAATTAATTTCGGCTTGCCTGCGTAGCCTAAATAATAGTATAAAAAATATAAATTAATAATAGTAACTTGAAAATATTTAAATAATTTATTATTATTATATATTTTAATAATAAATATTTTACTATTTTATATATATTTAATAATATAACTGGTATTAAGATCTTTAATTTTATAATTCTTAATATATTAAATAATATTATAATTATTAAATATTTTCTATGCTGATAGCAGACTATATAAAATATCAGGACTATACTCTACTTCTATAATTAATTTAACTGTTTTATTATTTTAAATATTAAAATATAACTTAATTTTTTTATATTTTTCGGTTTTATTATAACTGCTAGAGGAGTTAATATATTAATATATTTCTTCGGATATCTATATCTTATATGTAATAAAAAATTAAAGTCTGGTATTAATATATATCCGGAATCAAAATCTTATATTTATATAATAAAATAATTCTTTCTACTAGGTTTCTTAGCAACAGCTATACTAATAAATATATTAATATAATAAGAATATACAGCAGCTGCGAGGTTTTTTTCTGCAGTAGAAGATTTATAGTATTATATATAGATTTATAATTTTTACTTCTAAAAATATATATTTAAATAAAAATGAAAGTATAAATTAATACTATATTTATATTTATTATAAAAAATATATTTATTATTCTTTTTTTTATATAAAAATAATCTTTAAATCTAAATAAATCAATTATTAGATTAATTATCTACTGGTTTCTTTGGTAGTTATATAATATTATTCTTTTATTTCTTTTTTAATATATTCGCTGAGATTATATTTTTTAGTTTATTATTCTTTTTAAGCATCTATAGAACTATATTTATATAACTAATATCTATTTCTTACTTTTTAATAATATTCTTAAAATAAATAACTAGATTAAAAAATTTAGTATTATTATAAAAACTGTTATTATTTCTATTAATATTATTTTCGCATATTATTATTTATAATAAAAAGTTGTTTTTTAAATAGTATAAAAAAGTAGTAATATAAATATTAATTTTATAGCTAAAAGCCCAAGCATCCGAATATTTATATTAAAATATATTAATAAATTATAATAGTTTTATATACTATAAAGACTTTATAGTTAGAAAGCTAATAATTATAATCTGTTTTTTAAATATATTTTTTTTTATAAATAATTCTATAAATAGTAGTAAATATCTTATCTGCGTACTTAAGCTCTAAAAATTAATTTAAATATTTTTTAAGTATATTTTTTAATATTAAATTTATAAGTTATCTATTAATTAAAATTAATTATTATTTCTATATATTAAAGTATTTCTTATCTGGGGCTAATTATAGTAAGATTTTATTAATAAGATTTTCTGTATAGTAAAAGTAGAGGCTTATTTTAATAACATATAATTAAATATTTTATTTTTATTTATTTATAAAAAGTATTAATAATACTGATAGAAAGTCTAGCAGCTTATTAAAAAAGACTTTATATTTCTATTTATATTATATATAATATTAGATAGTAGTATTTCTATTCTTCGAAGCAGCTTTCTAGTCTGGTATTTTTAATATATATTAGAAATATTCTGATTACTAATCAGCTGGCTGCAGCGCTGCTTAATATATATAAGAATCTAAAAATTAAAAAAAATAGAAAAGATATTATAAATAATATAAATTTAATAAATATAAAGTTTTTTAATAAAATATTAATAAAGTTAACGCTCTGGAGGAAGAAAGAATATTAAATAAAAAAAGGGCTTATAATCTAAAAAAAGTATAAAAAAAATAGATTTAAGCTATCTGAATATTTATCTAACTGCCGGCCGAAGGCGGTGAGCTGCCCAGCTAATGGAAGGCTAGGCACTCTACATAAGCAAACAAAACAACCTACTGCCATTGTAATTAGTGTAATTAGATTGTCACCCACACATAATTTACCCACTCATCCTACATATTTCTACATGTGGCTCTCAAGGTCAGCCTCCACAATCCCGGTCTGGAGAATCTGCATCCACCCGTGGCCCATCGCTTTTCAGGCACAGTCTGTCACTGCCAAGTGGGCTGTGGCAAAATGGACTCCACTTCCAAATCAATAGTCGATCGTATTCCCTCTGCTTAAAGTCTCGGGGTCTCCGCGCACCAATCAGGATGCGCCTTGGCATCGCCTATATCTACTGCCTCGAGATATCCAGGGTCCAGACAACAAGAAGACTTCGCCCCTATAAGACTGTCGAGTTTCTGTGCTTCTTGATGTTCTAGCCTGCGTCCCTTTTCTCTGCTGGCCCAATTCCCTTTTTCATGCCTGCCGTCATCTCCAACTGCTCTGTCACTCTTTTCTGAATAGGCCATGGCAAGGTCACTCTTTACCACCGCCGTCATCTCCGGCTTGTTGGCGCACACGGCAACCGCCAGCGTAACCTGCAGCAATGAGGTTGTCAACGCCTTTTCCAACCCGTCCTTCGAGACTGGCGATGCGTCGGACTGGACTGCCTGGATCGCCTCGGCGACGGCTACGACCATGGGCGATGTCCTTTCCGGGGATGCGTCGGATGGCACTTATTACCTGTAAGTCGTCTGCTCGCATAAGTGTTCGGCTAAGGACGAAAATTGCTGACACGCGACACCAAGGTCTATCAATGCGGACCCCTACTATTGGAAATACATCAAGCAGACCGTGACTGGGCTGGAGGTGGGGAAGACTTATTCCTTGTCGGTAGACTACAAGCTCACCGCTGCGGCGGCGAGTATTCCCACCATCTACAACAAGTGCAATTTCGGGTGGATGTTGGATAGATGGAGCAACTTCTTCGATGAAACCAGTACGGCTGCGATACTCAGTGGTGAAGAGGCGGAGTGGGCGACCTACACCGCCGCCTTCACCCCGACCAGCTCTTCGCACACCATGATGTTCCTGTTTTCCTGCAACGACTATACCACTTATACCTTTGACTTGGATAATTTCCTCTTGCCGGTATCCACCCAGCAGGTGTGCACCACCTCCGCGGAGGTGGTTACCCCGACCACGAGTGTGGTGGCTATCTCGCCATCCAGTGTTCCTCCCAGTAGTGCTGTGGGCGCCTCACCAACGCCATCATCCGTGTCGCCTGCTTCGTCCGTGGCGGTCATTTCCAGTACTGTTTCACCGATCTCGTCTTCAATAGTACCGAGCAGTCCGGCATCTACACCCACCACGTTGTCGCCTTCTGCAATGTCTTCCGCTCAGGCTACCCCCACAGTGTCCGTGGCATCAAGCTCAAGTGCGGTTGCGTCGAGTCCTGCTGTCTCGTCTCAGTCGGTCGTCTCTGCCAGCTCGAGTGTCTCGATTCCTGTCATAAGACCATCGCAATCCACGGCCAACTCCGTGATCCCGCCACGCAGCTCGCCCATACGATCATTGTCTTCCTCCGTTCAATCATCTAGCCCAGTTGTCTCCGCTGCCTCCTCTCATCCGGTCGTGACACGTTCGGCCGGCCAGTCCTCAGCACCCGGACTCACCTCATCCCCAATTCGGACATTCGCTACCTCTCTTTCCCAACCGGGCAGAATCCCGTCCAGCGCACCTCACGTGAGCTCCTCACAACTCATCATCCCCACAGCCACTCCTTCAATCTCCGCCCAGGAAAGCAGAACCACCATTATATCTGCTTCCGCAGACACCGGCGCATTCGTCACATCCACGCTTCTCACCACCCGCACCGCAACCGTGACAGCCTGCCCGTCAAGCGTGGCCAACTGCCCGGCCAGCGAGCGCACCACCTATCTTACGACCGAAACAGTGGTCATCGGAACCACCATCTGCCCCGCCACAATGCCTGCCGGCCAGCCTACAGCCTCTGCCGGGGCAGACCCCGAAGGCGAGCTCCTGACCACCTCGACATTCTTCACCACCCGCACCTCAACCATCACCGCCTGCCCGTCCACCGTCACAAACTGCCCGGCCTCCGCGCACAGCACGTACGTGATCACCGAGACTCTGGTCGATTATACGACCGTGTGCCCGATCACCGCCACCCAAACCGCGGCACCCACCGCTCCGGGTGCTGGGGTTGTAGGTACCGGAACGGCCGTCGTGCCTGCACAGACCGTGTCGGCGGGTGACTCGGCTGCGACCGCCGTAGCCCATACGGTCTCGTCGGCGGTGGCGCCCGCAGTGACGCAGCCCGCGGCGGAGAGTGACGAGGTGGTCTCGACTATCTACGTGACTGCGACTGTTACTGTGGATTGCTCGAATTGATTTGGTGGTGGAGGGTCTTTCTTGCCCTTGTCACAGTACATTTATTGTTAGTATTAGGTATGCCGAATATGATGGTGTCTATGAATTTTGAATCTGTGATTGTTGTAAGCTATGACCGTGTTCTGTCGGTGTCTTTGGCTTTGAACGGGAATATTTGTGCTAGCTCGTAGCGTCGGATGTGAACACGGCAAGACTCCTCCTTTTATCTCAAGGTCCAATACAGACAAAACCAATGTCGAAGCGAATCTCCCTTTAGGGATTCCGCACTGAATTGTATGGCGCATGGATTAGTTCAAGCTAACTCAGTATGCGGGGGATGTTCCAAAGTCCGGTGATCCGCTGCACTGACCTCGGAGAGGAATATGATTACCCAAAAGGGAAACCCGCCGCACGAACCCTAAGACGGGAATTCCTCCAGTTTCCTCCATCGGATTGGAAGACTATAAGCCCATTCAATGCCACTCTCACTTGTAGTATGAGACTCCAGAGCAATACATGGTAATTATGGAGCCACGAACCATCCGATGGGGCATTCTGGGTAAGTCTGCTCGCCCCTCTCCTCACGAACTCGAATTAATCGAAGCCAGCGACGGGCGGCATCGCCGAGACATTCACGAATGATCTGCTCGTCGACCCCACCACCCGCTACGTCACCTCGATCAAACATACCGTCGTCGCAGCGGCTAGTGCCTCCGGAGCCGCGCGTGCTCAAGACTTCCTGAGAAGCGTGGGCGAGACCATCGCCGCGGGACGACTGGGCACCCTGCACCGAGTCTTTGCAGACAAGTCCTGGACCTCCGTCCCGAGGACACCTGCCCCCGCGACCATCGCATGCTGAGCCCCGCCTTAGCCGGCGGCGCCCTGCTCGACAGGCGAATCTACAGCTTGACCTGGCTCTTCCAGACCCTATACACCACGCAGATCCCTCCGTCGAAGACAAGCAGCAGTGAACTCTCTCCTCCAGCTCCGCGGGTAGTTGCTAGCTTACTGCAAAGTACCCATCCACAGGGGTGGGGTAACCCCACAGTGGTGAACAAAACAGCCACCGTGGTGCTAACCTTCCCTCGCGACGTCACGAAAGGGGGAAACATGTTTGGGATCGCGACGACCAGCTTCCGCGAGGCGAACGACATCGACGGCCAGGGCACCAGCGGGCCCGCCGTGCTCATCCAAGGCAGCAAGGGCGAGCTGCAGGTCTGGCCGCCTATCTTCCGGCCCACGCGGACGAGGCTGATTCTAGCTGACTCGACCGTTGAAGATCGCAGCTGGCCACAGCCGGGGCCGGGTCGGGCGGGTGCTTGGTACAACAGATACTCCGTTGCGGGGATGGGGGCCGAGGGCGAGGGGTACGGCATGTTCTGGGAGGCGGAGGAGGCGGCCATGGCGGTTGTGGAAGGGAGAAGGAGGGTCGTGTGTTCGGGGCTGAATGAGTCAGTCCTTATCATGCAGGTGATGGACGAGGTGCGTAGGCAGAACGGTTTGGTCTATCCTTCGGGCATTGAGGCTGCAGATTGAGTGGGGGGTGGGTAACGCGCTACAATGGTTAATTTTGTTTGAATTTCACTCTGTTTGTGACTGTCCAACTGAGTCGAGAGCAAAAAGCATATCCTAAACAAACTTAGAGACATGTAGATACTAGCTCAACATCTGAGCATCACCAACCCCACAAGCTTCATGCAAAACACTCTTGGTCTGTGTGCTAAGCAATGATTCTCTGTAACATGTGAGTTTATGTGGAGCTGAATGGACAGGATAATATCGACCACCTACAGATTACTTCGACTCAAGCACAGTTTTCATAATCTGCGCAACCTTGCCCAGGAACTTGCGCTCTTTCTTGTGCGAAAAGATCACCACCGCAACGCCGACGAGGAGATCGTCTTGAGAGATAAGTGGGGACCTGCGGATCTCTTTCTCGTTCTTGAGAACCTGCTGGAGAATTCTGGTGGCGTCGAGGTGGCATTGCAGCCAGGGTAGACTGAGTCGATCGGCTTCGAGATTGAGGTTGCGGCGCAGCTGGTCCAGGACCTCATACACCGGCGGCGGCGGACCCTGGTCGGTCTTCTTTGTGCTGGTGGACCTGTTGGAGTCGGCGAGCACGCGCTGGATATCTTGGGACGTCCAGTGCAGCTGGAGGTTCTGCAAGCTGCTCACCATCTGATTCATCAGCGGAATCAGGCCATCATCGACCCAGCGCGCCCTGCCCTTCGGACTGAGGCTGAATTGCAGGGAGGATCTGTACCGCGCACGCTCCGTGGGAAGCTTCCCTCCAAGGAAAACAGGATTGAGAGTGTCGATCAGCTGCTGCAAGGCGGGCCAGGTCCAACCGTCTGGCAGCAGGCCCTCGCAGGCGACGGCGTTGTAGAGATAGAACATCCCCAAGAGGACACCCCGGGATCTGGTCAAAATAAGGAGGCGTCGATACAGGGAGCCCTTCCAGAGCCACAGCAGTTTCCCGGCGAGCAGGGGCTGACACGAGAAGAGTCCGAAGGGTTGTTCCGTTGGGATGCCGAGCGACTCGCGTCGAGCGTTGACATGGTCCTTCCCGAGTGCCTTCTTGGTAATCCTGATGAAATCTTCCAGTTGTTCCAAGCCAGGAGCGCCTGTTTTGGAGAGTTGCTTGATAAGAGCGGTGGTCGACTGAGTCCACTCCTGAAGCTGCAGACGGGGCTGGGCGACCTCCGCACCCATCGCGAGACGAATGTCAATGTAAACAAGGCCGGCAAATGCGAGTTCGTAGTTAATCGCGCGTTGCGACAATCCGTGGCCCAGCATCATGGTGAACCAGTCCATCGTGGCACAGAGACGCGGGTGATGCACGCCCCACAAGCCGCATTCGCGAACCACCTCCTTTAGCAGTACAAAGGCGACAACACCTCGCTCGTTGTCCGTCATCTCATCGAGGGCTCGGCTGAGATCCAAGACCGGCGCCGTCCCCTCGGACAGCACGCCATCACTATCCTCCTTCCAGCCTCCGATGACGAAATGTAGAGTCTCCGCCACCATGTGCAAGTTCCTCACCACTTCGTGCCAGTACGGTCGATCCTGCGGCGCAGTGCGGTACATTTCCTGGAGGATACTGGTCATGATCTTGTCGAAACCTTGGAGGTCCTCGCTGAAAGGCTTTAGGCCCTCATGCAAAATTTCCGCAGCGACGTGGAGCGCGATATCGGTGGTCACGGCCGCGGCCTCGAGGGTGCATTTTCCCTGGCGGTAATCCGCCCATGTTTTCTGGGTGGGTTGACGGATCGACCAGAGGTCTTGGAGGAGTAGGAGGACTCCAAACTCTCGATCGGTAGAATCCTCGACGGTGAAATTCTCAGTAGGACAGGTGGAGCGCGCGGGAGCGTCTGAAGCATCCAGGAACTCCTTCGAGGGTTCTTCAATTTTAAGTCCATCGAACCGATTCGCCATCGCAGCCGTGTCAGGTTCATCGTCTGCGTCAAGAGGTGTCTTCTTGTCGTCTAGTATAAGAGGACGCAAGGTCTCGTAAAGTTGCTCGAGCTGCTGGATGAAGTGCTGGTGAGACTTGTACGACGCCGAGCCCTCATCTTGATAGAATTTGGACTGGGCCCGACGGCTGTCGATGGTGTATCGAAGGTCACTGACGATCGGCCCGGGGACGTGGTCTGCATACTTGCAGGCGACGATGTTGTTCGCCAGCTCCACGAACTGACTCGCTGTGAGGATGTACTCGCCCTGCTTGGGGGGCTTGAAGTCCAGGTCGGTTACCGCGAGCCATATCGCCACGTTTCGAGTCGATCGTTTGTATCGGCTGTAGCGAGTTTCGTAGGTCTCTGAGGATGACATGGTGTCAGACGGTGGTTGGATGAAAGGAAGTAATGTCGGTGTTGTGGGTGTTGTGGGCGTTGTGGATGGGGATGAAAGAGAATTTCAGTTGAGGTTGAGGAAAGAGGATGATGGGTCTTATATAGCCTTTCTACTATATGGAACTCTCTGGTAGCCTGGTCCTTGTGAATGTTGACCTAAAACGTTGCATACTATTCACCTTGAATCTTGGCTTAAGGTTCCGGAAAGAAGGATTTTGATTTTTTCTTTGTTCTAGTGAATATGACCATATTTTAGCCTCGTCTTGGAGAGGGGTTCATCATATCAGAACGGGTTGCACTAGCGCCGAACCTACGACTCAACAAGATAATAGAATTGTAGAGTACAGAACAGTTTCATCTAATATTACATTCAAGCCAAGCGGTGTATCTTAAGTTTCGAGCACATGAGTTGCCTGAGAGCCCTGTCGTCCAGAATAGCTATCCCCAGTTTATTCTTAGCCCTGGACAGCCCAAAAGGTCTTAATCAAATTTTATAAGTCTCTTGATGTCGATTGGAACACCATCAGGACTAGTAGAAACTACGTGCTTGACTCGACAAATAGAGATCTCTTGCTGCCTTGAGTTCGTATCTTCTTACTGTGATATATAGCATCGCTTTGACAGGTAGGTCGCAGTGTGAGAATGCGGTGGCGATCTAGTTTCGATTCCGTGCTGTTGTTAGTCGTGTTTAGACATGCTTAGGTCTTGTTGTTAGTTAATATCTGGAGTAGGAGCATAATAGCAACAAAGGTTCTATAATAAAAGTTTAAGAGATGCTACTATCTTTGTATGGTGGATTGAGTTTAAAGACCATCTTAGTATCAGACTCGTAACAACTATAGATATGACTACGTTTGTCGAGATCTATGTTATTATCCCCGGAGACGATGTCAAGAAGTTTTCGTCTGCTGATTATTCTCACTACCAATCCTTCTTATCCACCAAGAGACTAAGTTGTTCATATTCCATCTGTCGCATCTCGAAAAGCTTCGTCCCCCGTCCTACTCGTCCTCTGAGCTTTCAATTATTCCACCCTTCCGGCCTCTCCTTGCCGGTGGCTTCGCCCCTCTTCTTTCACCCCGAGGGCTCATCCAGACACGTCCAGTCATCCGTGAACAAACGAAACAAACAGAACATGCCGTACCCGAGCCACTCAAGAGGTACATGCCCCATCGACACACTGGAGCCCTCCATCGGCCGGGACGGGGCAATTTTTGATCCTCGTCCACAGGGCGTACGATTCGCCGCCCTCGCCATCCACCTCGGAGACGAGGTATTCCTCGCACTCCATCTATACAGAAGAGAACCAAAATTAGCTTTACGCCATCTCAACTTTCTCCGCTGAGAAAGACTGCCCCGATTTCAAAGAAACCTCGTACCAGGTACCCTTCATCACACTCGCACACCTTGGCTCCCCAGTCAGAGCAGTAAGTGTCGGATTTGTAGCAAGCGGCTCGAGCCTGGATGGCAAGGAGGCCGAAGGCACAGAGGGCGAAGATGGGCTTCATGTTCTATGGGAGAGTTATGGGAGAGAGAGGTGGCGGTGACTGAGGAGCAGAGATTCGATTTGTTGTGTTGGGTCGAGGAATCAAATTGATGGACTAGAACGGTGATGATGAGATCCAGTTCCAATGCTATGCATTCCTCCCTTTTTGATTTTATATCTTTCCAAACCGGTTATCATTTCTCCCGGAGATGGTTATTCACAACGGCACTCGGCTGTTCTACGGCTCTTCAGCTCCGTGTTGACGGTGAGGGGGGCCATGGAGTTGACTCCGTGAATGAAACTGTTCTTTGCCAGTGATCTGATCTTGTGAGGTGGTGAGCGATCCACATCATCAGGATCATGCTTGTGCGCTTTGGGGTTAGTTGGGGTTGTCGGAGCGGCGTGGGGGCCGAAGCTTGATTGATTCAAGCCTTAGTGAGCATGATGAGCCGGAAAGATTTCCAGCCTTGGCTAGTGGCGCATCCTTCCACAGGCTTCAGCTCACGTGGCATAGAATAATAGCTGGAAGTAGTCCGTATGAAGTAGGACTCGGGAGGTTCATTTCGCCCATGCTCGCAGAGCTTGCCCAAATCGGTTGGCTTAACCTCATTCATCTGGCTATAGGGCTAACCAGCTATTGCTCCATTCAATATCTTCCATCCTGATCGTGGACCTTTCATCACGCAGTGTTTACTCTTCTAGAGGTCACTTCACCCGTATCTCCTGTATGAAATTGATTTTCCACCAGTAATGTGAATCTAGCAGGGAACCCTTCCAGCATCACGGCAAAAACCGTGGTAATCAACCTAAGGGTCGGCGGAGAGGGTTGATCTTCATCGGATGTCTTACTTTTCAAGACTCGGGATTATGAACAAATCGATTTGAACTCTGACATAAATACTGGAGTCGGGTGTTTGACCGAGCAAGACACCTCTTATTACGCGTTTCGATCGGACCCTTCATTGCATTGTGCGGAACTTGGAGGGGATAAAATCGTCTCTGAGCAAGCCCGGACCCTCCGTAGCGACCGGGAGAGCCGAGAGGTCATCCCGAGCCCCAGCCCAGCGGGTCCAAATGGGATTGTGGCTCAGAAATGCTTAGCTAGCCTTACACTCAGGGACTCTCTTAATGCTTGATGATTGTCTACTGTCAAAATGGATACTGAAGACTGTCGGGATCGCATAACCGGCTTAACTAACCGGCCATATCTGCAATTCTCGCGGGCTTTGAAAGCAGTTAAGCTTTTCTATTTGTCTCACCTTCATACCGCGACTGTTCGGATATCTCTGATCCCAAGCTCGAGGAAACATCATGCAAGTTGAGCCATGCTAAACTGACCCACCTCATCCCTTCAGACTACAAGTCACCTTACTCAATCCCCACCTGTTGTATGTTACCACAAAAGTCGGACCGGAACGGCTCATCCTCCGGACTCATATAATGACATCGATGCCTGGCAGAGATGATCCTGTCAGCAGCGTCTCCTCCACAAAACCGTACCGCAAGTCTCTTGAACATAGAGGGAAGGAAACGCTAAGAACAACCTACCAACACATGGCCCGAAAAATCATCCCCAGACACGCATCGCGGATCTCCTCCGAACCAATCTGGTCATACCCCACCACCCCCTCACACGAAACCACAACATCGAACTGGTCCCCCAGGCCGGTGGTTGGGGACATGTGGTATCCATTGGCGCACATCTCGGCGCGTCGTCTACCGCGTCTGCGAACATGGGCTTCGATGGTGGGGAGGTGGTCGAAGAGGGCGTGCATGTTTCGGCGCCAGGTGGCGAAGGGGTTCTTGCTATTCGTGTGGGGCCGCTGCTTTGGTTTGTGCTGCGGACGTGGCTGTCGTTGCCTTGTCGGTCTGGCTTCTGACGTGCCTGGCTCGGCTTCATCATGGTCGTCCTGCGCTGCCGCCTCCTCGCCACCGCCGTCGAAGGCGACGATGAACTCGAGGAATGAGGAGACCAGATCCCAGTGGAAGAAGCTGTAGGGTCCGATATGATCATCTTCCCGAGAGACAATCTGGCCGAGTTCCCGCTGGATCCAGCATAGCCAGTGGTGGACCCTCTCGTTGAAGAAGCTGGCTTCGGGGGAGGTTTCTAAGTCTGTGGCCCAGGCTGGATATGCGCCTTGCGACACGGTCCAGTAGTCTGTTACGGGGGCTGGAGTGGTTGTCGTCGTAATAGGAGGGGAGGAAGAGGTGAAAAAAGGACGGGCAGGGTGTTGTTGTGGTCGAGGGAACTGCTCTAGCTCGTTGATAGCCTCTAAGATCCCGTCCACGACACTCGAAGGACTCCCTTCTTGCTGTTGGTGCTGCTGCTGGGATTGTATACCCTCTACACCACGCTTGAAGATCATCGCGATCTTAGGTCGGGTGAACGGGCCCAGGAGGTACCGGTGCGGTCTCGGCACGCGCACTGGGTAGAGATCTTTTTCGCTGAGGATCGCGGAACACAAGGCGGGGAGAATGTTGACTAGACTTGCTCGTGGTGGGAGTGGGAGCCACATGGTGCGGGAGAGGGTCTCCCAGGCCTGGTCACCGTCCAGAACAACGGATTGGGAGTGGGCTGGGAAGAGAACCGGGTCTAGGAGAATGCGTCCGTAGAACATTGCCACCGCCCCGGGATGAACGATGAAAGTCTCCCTGCGGGAGAGGTGGAGCCGGGGCGGGGTGAAGTCTTGTTGCTCGTAGCGCAGCAGCGGAGTGGATCTTTCTGCGAGGATGAGGGTGTTTCCTGATGCCTGGAGGCTGCCTCTGGGAGACAAGCTCGTTCCCGATTTACTCTCTTCTCTAAATGCTGAGCTCTGTGAGTTACCCAGGAATGGCCCATCTGACCAGTCCAAGCCAAGAAGGCGAGTGAAGATGGTCAGGTCACGGAGAGACATCGAGCCTGTCAGTGTGCCAGGGTTTCCGGGGAGGTCGTCCCACGTGCAGGGCTCGAATTTGATGCAGATACCGTAAGTCGATGAGGGAGAATGTGTCGTTGTTGATGGTGATGGTGGGTCGTAATTGGCATGTTGCATACGCCTTGCAGCATGTCTGTTGTATTCCTGCAAGTGCTTCAGAAAAAGAGTCCAGGAAGCCTGCGTGCAGGCATCAGTCAACTCCCTTGGTAGCTCGCTTATGCTCATAGACCTTCCAAGATACTTCGCTCGCCACGTTTGGTCGCTTCGCGAGGGAGAAAACAGATTGTGCCATGTTGCCGTCTGACCTTCAGCATCCGGAATGGGGTGAGAAGGGTTGAGATTCCCAAGATAGATATATGGTCTTACGAAGGTGACCTCAAACCGAAACTCGCGCCATAGATAGTGGCGATGTCGGAAGCGCGACCAGTCGCCGATCAGTCGTCTGGAACATCGGTTGTAGCCCTGCGCTGTTGCAAAGTATTGCTGGAGGAGCTGGAGGAGAGTCACTGTGAGAGCGACCAAGGAGACAATAAAGGCGGTTAGAGCAATAGAGTTACTTGTGTCGAGCATGTCGAATAGTCTGGTAATGCTCCAAGATAATGGTTTGACTTGAGCTGGACTCTTATGAAGCTGGTCGATGTTGCGATTCTGCTCGTCCTCTCCCATGTGATGAAGAAGAGTGAGATGACGGCAGTGTGCAGGGATGTGCATGAGATCGACAGCTAGACTGCCTATCTGGGATGTTGTAGTCGTCCTTGGCCGAAGATATGTATGACTCCAGGAGTGGAAGGAACATGAGACACAAAGACAAGGTAGCCAAGCTTAGAGGAAGTAAGAGATGGCAGAGTTAATGTTAAGGGAGCAGCGCATCCACGCTGGCTTTGCAAAGGACACAGGGTAAACAGGGAAGATATTGATTAATAGAACAGACTGGGTGAATATATTATTCTAAGATAGCACCTGCTCCCGTAGTTAGCCCGGCTAGCTCAATCGGTAGAGCGTGAGACTCTTAATCTCAAGGCTGCGGGTTCGAGCCCCGCGTTGGGCTTTCTTTTTTTTCCTTACTACGTAATATTACTTGCTCCTTTCTTTCTTCTTCTTGTCCTGCTCATTTATTATATAGCTGTTGGCAGCGGCTACTGGTTCTGACTAGCTTATTGCTTTATTGATATATTCAATTTAATTCTTCTGTTCTACTGTAGTTTTAAAGAATATCCGCGTATAGAGTCCTAATTAAAAAGTTGTGTATTCTCTATCCGCATCCCGCTAAGATATATGTCGGCCATAACGGCTACATTTCTCAGTACTTGTTGACAGCTTTTGAGATTATTCTTCTGGTATGCCGCCAGCAACTTCTTCGCCGCTTTTTTCGGCATCCCTATCTCTATACTGCTCTACTGCGGCATCGCATGGTCTTCTGCCAGTTCTTACATTCTTCTAAATAAGATGTTATTGTAACATGAAGGTCAAATGAGATTGGATAGCAGCTGCAACAAAGGAGGCATAGTTATATAATCAGAACTACCAGGTGATTTGTCTCGGCCAAACATTGGTATCAATTATGGGCCCGTGGGCGGGCGATATGGTTTGGCTGCAAGGAGGCTGGAAGTCATCCCCAGGCATGTCCTGGATAGCATCTAGTCATCCTGACGAGGGTAAGCCGCCAGTGGATGGAAGCTCAGTTGACAAAGCCAACCGGGGGCTAACAACCGGTTAGGTAGAGTTGATGTGATACTAATACAGCCCCCACTTGACCTTCTGGTGGCCTGCGTCCCCGTCGCACTCCATATAGCCTTTTGCCCCGACACGGCCCTCCCACTCGTACTCGGCGATGGCCTCGGTGATGATGGTCACGATATCCTGACTTCCCGTGTAGTAGGTGACGTCGCCCGTGACCCCAACGTTCTGGACGCCGAACTTGCACGAGCCGTACGTGGCAATTGCGCGTTGACGGTCAATCCCCGTCGTCCATTCCCCGTTGGTGCCCTGGATGTTCTGAATGATGGTCTTGCAGTCGGACACCAGCGGGGAGGCGGAGGTGGTCTGGTCCACGTAGGTGTAGCCGCTGCACTTGGTCACGCCCTGCAGCGGGTTGCAGGGGTAGTTCGGGGCGCTGGCGTTGGACTGCGACGGGTTGGACCACGAGGCCCAGGCGACCTGCGGGCTGCACACGGGGAGGCGGATGTAGCCGGGGGTGGTGATGTCCTGGCTGGAGAGGTCCTGCAGCGTGTCCTGGTCCAGCGGGTTCGCGACGGGCCCGCCGTTGGCGTTGCCGTTGGCGACGTAGGTGCGGACGGAGCCCTTGATGAGGTCGTCCAGGGTGATGCCTCCCCAGGCGTCCCCGCCGACGCTGCTCAGGCCCGGGGGCGCTGTGAAGTAGGTCGCGTCCTCGCCGCACTCGGAGGTGCCGCAGTCCGGACAATCCGCCCGCTTGCCCAGCTTCTTCTCCGCGGGGCAGCCGCTCCACTTCCCGTCGGCACGTACCAGGTAGTAGAGCTTGTCGTTGTAGCACGAGTAGGTCGCCTCTTGGGTGGCCGCCGTCATGTAGTCGGACAGTGGGTTCTGCGCGCTGCAGTTATAGCCCGAGTCCACGACAAAGGCGTCGGTGCCGGAGACGGCCCACACCGACGGGATCGCGAAGCCGAAGAATGCCTTGTTGATGGAGCTCTCGATCTGCGTGGTGGTTTCCGGGGTCGTGCTGGAACTGACTGAGGGGACAGCGCCGCTGCCCTCGATGAGATTTCCATTGGCGATCATCTGCGTCAGAAGCGTGATCGACGTCTCGGATCCGTTGAACAGATTCCAGAGTTCGTTCTGCGTCACGTTCGCCCAACCCGAGATCACCGAGCCCAGCGTGGCGGTGAAACTGTCCTGCGATTGTGCCGTCCAATGACCTCTGGGTTCAGACAGGGGTCTAATCAGCAACGGTTTTCCCCTCAGCCTTCCCCTCCGTTCGGTTGAGGTCACTTACGGTTCACCTTCCGGTATGGCGGCGGAGGCAATTGCAGCCCCAAACGCGACCGCGGCATTGGTGATGTCTTTGGCGGTGTCGGCGCCAGCTTCGCCCAGAACTGAGCTGAGCGCCGGTAGACTTTCAAAAACTATGTGGAATCGTCAGAATTAGTAGGGTTGAGAGGGGGGGGGAGGACACTCGAAATGTCTGTCCAGGTAATCTACCTCCGTCGAAGTACGGTGCAGCCACCACAGTGAGACCAAGACCTAGGAGGTTGGTCAAGATCACCAGCCACTCGTCGCTGGGAGCCGGAGGCACCGGTGCGAAGGTGCTTTCAAAGTCCTGGAGCTGGTTGTCGATGTACGTTCCGGCAGCTACGCTGATGGCATCGAAGAACTGGGAGTACATCTGGAATCCAGAGAGAAATCGTCATCAGCCACATTCACTCATTCATTCAATCATTCATTCATTTGGTGAATTCGTCGGCTTACCGAGTTGATGACTGTGAGAGATTCATAGATCACCATCGCCGCGGGACCCGAGCCCCCGCTGCCGAAGCCTTCAAATACGGAACACGGGTAGGTGTCGGAACAAGAGCCTCCTGGGGCGACCAGGCCACAATTGGTCGATTCGCCGACATGGAAAGTGTTCATAAGGGAGTAGGAGAATTTCCTCTCGTCATCCGAACCAGTCAGCTTTTGCTCATCGATATTGTCCCAGATGCTGATGGCATCGGACCACGCATCCGAGGCGTCCAGCTCCGACCAGCGCTGGGCGCACGGCATGTACAGCGCGTCTTGTATAGCCGGATCCGAGCACGTCAAGAAGGTCCAGTTGCCGGTCCGGTTCCCCTCGACATAGGGGTCTTTGTCCAGGACGACGTCGTCGATGACTCCGGCCCAGCTCTTGGCTGGGTAAGGGGGAGAATTGTTCTTTTGCAGGTCGGTCGCCCAATCGGTGGTTCCCCCCATGGCGAGGCCCTTGTAGAGGGATCTTCGGGAAGCCTTGATGCCGTCACTCATCCAGCCGACCCATTGCGTGTTGTCGTACACCAGGATATTGGAGTTACTCGCCGTGTCGATATAACTCTCATTGACCCGGCTCGGGTCGGCGAGGATGGCCTCGATTTCGGCATTGGCGATGTACCCAGGACTTTGCGTAAACGGCCCCGGCTCGGCTTGCGAGTCGTCGGCTGAGCCCAAGAACGTGCATTCGGGCCCGTAGCAGCCGGCTTCGGCCATGGCGAAGGAGCGTCCGTAGCTGGTCACACCGACCACAACCTGGTTGGAGGGGACCCCGGCTTTGGTGATCATAACCAGAGCACTGATGGTTTCCGTCAGGTTCACATCCGAGCGCAAGCAATTGCCCGTCGGACAGCCAAGCTGAGACCATTGGCTGTCCGAATCCCACTGTCCGTGAAGATCGTAGGTCATATAGATGATGTAGTCCAGGAGCGGAGCCATCTTCTTGATAGGGAAGCCCTTCAGGTACCAATAGGATGACGGTGCCGCAATCGTAACTTCCCGGTCGTCAAGAAGATTCCGCAAGATAGCAAGGAAAGCGAGATAGTTGTCGCCGTCATCAGGACTCGCAGCAGGAATGCCTGGAATATCCGGTGCCTGGAATGGGAAAAGAACGGAAGGTTGATTAGCCACGGGAATACAGCGGTAGGTGAAAGGGTGAAGGCGGTGTATGCTCTTACCCCCGGGTATTCCCAGTCGATATTGACTCCATCGAGATCGTACTCTTTAATGAAGTTGGCGATGTTGGTGGCCATGGTCAGACGATTGGCGGCCGTAACGCCCTCACGGAAGATCATGTAAGTGCTTGGGTCGGTGGAAAATGCCCAGCCACCGATTGACAGAATGCGTTTGGCGCCTTGGATCTGTGTGAACCGGGTGAACTCGAATAGTGTAGTCTTGTCGGGAATTTGGACTACATAGGAGGAGGATAACACGCCAAAGGAGAAGTAAATGTGGGTGTAGACCGAAGTGTCAATCTGAGACACGTCCTGGTACAGACAGGGACGCTGCAAGTTGTATCCCTCGTAGTAAGCAATGCTCCGGTAGGTGGCAGGAGGGCTACTCAGCACCATCTCAGTGCCACAGTTCGAGATACAGCCATCGGTTCCATTCGCCGCCGTTCCAGGGGCACCTGTGCCAGTGTTGGTGCAGAACTCGGCCGTCACACCACACTGAAATCACTGTCAGTAACAGGCAGAGATTGAGGCATCGAGAGAGAAATAGGGAACTACTTACTTGGCCCCATACATCACAGCACGCATTAAGAGGGCACTCGTTGAGCTGGGAGATATTCGTTCCACTGGGAGGAGTCGGGGTGCCAGGGACCTGTGGCCCACAAATGGCATTGGAGACAGGCGCGGGCATTGGTGGGTTGCCTTCACTCAGACAAATGACCTCGTGGGCGTAGAGGGGGGGCGAGCAGGTATTCCATGCCCAAGTATCGGTGTTGAAATTGTTGATGTCATCGACCGTGAGGCCGTACGCAGCGGCAATCGTGGCACAGCTGTCGTCCGGCTGGACAGTGTAGGTCGCACAAGTGCCATCGGACTGCGGTTTAGGAGCGAAGTCGGGCAACGTACCGGCCGAACAGCAGACGTGCTCACCTGCAATCAGAGAAGAGCACTCGTTTGACTCGGAATTATAACTGGTGAATTGAGCCGGGGTGATACCACATTTCTCCGCCAACGTAAAGCAAGTATCACCAGAGACGACCTGAGCGGTGGAGCAGGTGCTCCGAGGAGCGAGGGACCTGCGCCGACGAACAGAGGATATAGAGTCGGCAGAAGCATAGGTGGAGTTGGAGTTGAGGTTGACGCCGATATTGCTAGAGTTGGAGGAAACCGAGTACAGCGGCGTCGCAAGGGGGACTTTGCCCGTGACGTTTTGGACCGATGGCAATGTCAAACATTCCGCTTTGGACCACGATGTCAGCGCTTCTTGTACAGCAGCGAAGGTTCCGTTGCCGGTGGCCATAAGGCCGAAAACGTGGTGAGAAGTCTGACCCGGCTCGCAGAATTGCATGGCCACACTCGCTCCAAGGCTAGCGTTGAATCCTGCAATGGACCTTTCCAGGTATGCCAGCGCGACATCACCAACACCCTGACTCTGCAGACCTTGACCGACGTAGAGGCCCACCGAGGTTGAGCCGTAGCTGGCAAAGATTATTGTTGGACGATCCACGGCGCCGAATCCATTGGACAGATATTGGCGGAGCTGCTTGACGAGGGTGGCGAGCGAAGGGGAAACCGATAGGCCCTCACTGGAGGGCCAGAATCCAATCTGATATGTGCCATTTACGGGGGCTGGGGCATCTTTAGACTGCAAGGCGAGGTTTGATGTATTAACCGGCAGCGTCGCCCAATCAGGACCGAAAGAGGTGCAGGTATGGATGCGATGAAAGCTGTCGGGATCGTCGACAGGATCAGAAAATGAAAAGGAATAAAAAAGAGACTCTTTGCACGATGCAAGTTGTTCGAAGTTGTGATATAGAGACCAGTTGCCGGGATTAGGCCCTGATGCGGCACATCGGGCTGGACAAGTGACCGATCTGCCCTGATACCTGGGACTCGCAGGAAGCCGAATGGGCACGTTGATGGCGACCGATGAGTTAACAGCAAAGGAAAAGGTAAAAAGAGCGATGGAGAGGAAGGTAAGGACCGTATTGCGCTGCCGAAGCCACGCAGAAGAATTGGAAAAGAAAGACATCTAGCGTACAATGCGCCTGATGATTCTGTCAGAGGAAGGCGAGATGACCGGGAATTTTATACTTGGGTGATGACCGGAGGCTGCGGGCATCTCCGAGCGGGTCGATTGAGTATTGAGCCCTCATACTTGGTCAGTCGGAGATTAGTTGCGTCGACAGCCGTTTGTTTGGAGGAGTGATGGGATTAATTGTTGCGGATCAATAATAACAGAAACAACAAGTAGAGGTAGTAGCTGAGAGGCAAAACAGAACCCCATGCGGGATAAGGGCACGCTAGTGATTCACTAACTCACTACCTGTATTGTATCACAGAGGGTCCACTAAGGAAAAGACCCCACCAACCCTTATTAGGCATTAATGGCGCAGCCTGCAGAGATGGCACGAATATTCCTACGCCATCCCGTGGCTTCCGATCGGCCCCCTGAAAAATCCTTTCATTGTTTATTTCCTCAGCATGTTCTCCTCCCACTATGACAGCCAGCTGAGGCAGTCCAAATCGCCCTCCAATCGAACCTTCAATCCTTTTTCACCTTCAACCTCCCTTTCAAACAACACCTTCAAGCATGAATCACGTTCGCTTTCTTGCTTGGTGCGCGCCGATGGCAAACTTGGTGCTGGCAATGGGCACTGCTACCGCCGTCGATTGGAGGATCTTTGAAGTGGACTTGATATCCCCGCGCAACATGACCTACTCCCCTCAGGCGCTGATGCCCATTGTATTCGCGTTGCAGAATCCGGCTTTAGCTGATACTACTGCAGCGTCTATCTTCTGGAGCGTGTGGGAAGGCAACAATCTGACTTCCCCGGGCTCCATTATTGACGGGGTCTTGGAGCTGGCTTTGGACGATTGGAACCGGACTTCATCGGAGCCTTACTTCGTGACCCGATTCTTTAACACTATCAATTATCCGGAAGGCTTCTGGACCTTGAGCTGGAGTCTTCAGCTTTACAATTGCTCTGACAATCCGGAAAAGCAAGGTGTTCAATTTATCACGACCAGCAATACCACCACCTTCACTGTCAGTCGCCAGTCAGGGAAGGCCCCTGATCTCGTGGCAGCCACATCTTCCGAGACGTGTGGCGCCACAGTCGCCTATGCATATAATGTCACTGGGGGCGATGACGGATGCGGCTTCTTGGGTCCCAATGTGACTGCCAACCCGTGCTCGGTGACAATCAATCCTTCGGCTGCATCCAGTATCATGGCAGCCGCCACGGAGATGGCATGTTCTCCAATGGAGACTGGGGTGTACCCTAATGTCAGTTGTCCGGCATCTCCGGTCGAATCCTCCAACGTCGCGGCAACATTCCATATGGCAGCAGCAGTGTCGACATGGCTTACGCTGTTGACTCTAGTGACTGCTTTGAGTCACCTCGGATGATCACGGAATGTACAGTACAGTACCTAGTGCGTGAGCGAGCCCCTAGCCTCAATGCCTGGAAGAGCAGCGGGGTCTTTCTCATATGTAGCAAATCAGCAACATTGAGGCTATTTGTCAAGTACTTCTCCTCGTATGAAAATCGTTTTAGTATTGTCGGCTCCGCACAAAGGATTGCCTTTTTAGCTCCTATATAGTAATCATTTGTAGATTGTAGAGAAGCGCTGTCGGATCCACCACTTTGCGACTCCAGAGATAGCCTCCTAAATCTTTTGCATCCAATTTCCGCAGCGAGCTGACGGCCGCACTCCAAGCCACAAAGTGACAAATTGCCAGAAGGCAGGCACTGGGCAGAAAATTGAAGGGTTCAAAAGTGGACACCCCCACCGACCAATGAGCTTGTTTATCTTGGCAGCAAGCACTAATCTTGATAGGGTTTAGAGTGTAAGGCACGTATCGAGGTAGCCATTCACATACTGTACCACTTTCCAGTTGACCCGAGACTCCGATTTTCGCTTCCACTAACCAAGATACGGAAAGACACACGATCGCAATGAGATTCCAGACGTATCTTGTGAAGTCACGCACACAACCCCTTCTACTCAACGAGGCTCAAGGGGGACAGAAGTTTTGTCGACCGAGATCCCGATTTGAGGAAAATCTTATCAATTTTTAGAGTAATGTCTTTGGTCATGATACTGAAGTGATATCAACACGTAAAGTTTTCTTCTGGCATCTTCCCACATATTGCTCAATGTAAGTGGTGCCGTGCCTGTAGTTCCTCAAAGTCAATGACCAAGGCAAGTGCAGACTTGTGATACTTGACAGCTCTAGGAGTGATCGGCCCGGCGTTCGAGAAAATGTATATCACAAAGGTAAAATGACATTCTGACATGTATACTTTGGTACTCGGCCCGCCTTCCATGGCCTTCCAAGCTTGGCTCTCTGCTCCATGCGTGTAGAACGTTGACACCTACCGGTTGGGACTACTCAAACCGAACACCGGGACTTTCCTCCAAAGCCCATCCATTCATCTACGCGAGCTGAGCTATTAGAAAGATCGGAGACTGTTGAAGGAGCTTCGCTGCTGTTGGTCCGGTGGTTCCTGACCCCGAGTCACGTACTTTGAAGGGTCACTATTCGCCTCCACACGCCGGACACGCCGGTGCCCCTTCCCACCTGTTCGCGACGGGGCAGGGAGTCAGAGCCAAAATCGCCTTTGCTCTACCCAATCACCTGAGCAGGCTTTCCCTCGTGAAGAGTTCTGCTATGAAAAAAGTTTCGGAGGTCTGGCCTATTCCGCTAGTCAGTTGACTGGCTAACTCAGATTACTGACGGGTCAAGCTCCGAGAGCTTGTTAGTCTATAACGCCACTGGCAGGTGTTCTCGAGCACGAAAAAAAAAACAATACAGGCGCTGAAGACAAGGTGAAGACGAAGAGCAAATGGAAAAGGGCTAGGCCTACAAGGCGAATCATTTTCAGAATAAATATTACAAGATGGGCGGGTTTAATTTAGGCAATCCAGCCTGACCAATGCCCCGTGAGGCAGGACTAGCCTCGCACACCGACAGCCACCCGCGGACAGGGGCCTGATCAAAACGTGGAGTCTATGGACCTGTGGTAGGCGTGAGAAATGTGCCCGTACTATCCAGTAGGGGCCTCGTTTTCAGCTCCTTGAATGGGGTTTTCCTTCGACCTCCTGATGAGCAGTGCTTAGGGTAGCAACATTGAAAGAAATCAAAGTTCCGACGTCGAATAGAGATATTTTCGATTGACTGACTCGATGCGGGGTTGGGGGGTGGGGGGGGGGCAAATTTCTGTGCCGGCAGGATGATTGGCCACTTCGGTAAGCTAGGGTCTGAGCCAAGCTTTGCAGAATTTTGCGAAGCTTTTTCAGGATCCTCGGGGTTGTGAGATGATAGATCGGAACGCCGGCGGTGCCTGCACGCCCCACAGCACTGTACAGTACGTACATACCTAGTAACTATTAGCAGTCAGTATCCACCTCACTCGCCTGAACACGAGGGCTTGATAGAATTCGCAATTTTATTCAATGCATGATTAGAATGATTTGTTCTCGCAGTTAATAGTAAGAGAACGGGGCAGTCGCTGAGTGAAGGATTATGCTTCAAGCGGGACTTTAGGCAGCAAAGAATTGACGACTATCTCTCGCGGCGAATGAGTCACCTCGATGCATGAAAGAGGCTCATTTGGACAGATGGGAAAGCCACTCTATACAGATTGCAAACAGTCCTTCCAGGAAAAACGACATGTACCTATACTCAATGGTTTTCTAGTATATTGCCCGAGCATAGTTATTCGTCGAGTCCAAGTCGATCAGTTGAAAGTTATGAACTGTACACTTGCAGTACATTTGGTTTTTTGTCCGTTCTACGTATGACTCAGACCCGAGCCCTGAGAAGGTTTGCGAGACTTTACCGGATCCGCAATTGAATTGGGGGCTGAAAAGCGCGGAAGACCGGTGTCATTCCACGCCCCACAGAGGTGGACAATGTATTAGTGCGGAGTACTCTGTATATCGCCTCAAACTCTCATTTTCCATGTCTTTCCAAAGATTGAAGGCCGAAAAGATCTTCTATACCATGTGATTTTCAGTGCAGAGATTGATTTCTATGGCTGTCCGGTTGCAGGACAGGATATAAAACGCTCGACGGTCAGACCTGATTCCAGCAGAACAGAGCTTTATTGTTCACCATCACTGTTCTTTGGCTTGCTCAAGTATCTCACCCCTTCGTTCTCGGAGAAGCATTAACCAACCAGGATGTCTCCAAGATCCCTCAAGGCAGGTCTTCTTCTACTCCCGCAGCTACACCTGGCATTGGGTTTGGCCATCGCCCCCCGTCAGCAAGTGGTTTGTACCTATGAGACGGCCGCCAGTTCCGGAGAAACCTGCCAGTCTTTCTCGGCGGATTGGGGCTTGGACGTGCCAACCTTCGAGTCTCTCAACCCGGGCATCACCTGCCCGGACCTCGTGGCCGGTCAGAACTACTGTGTAGTCGGCACAGTTTTATCTGGTGGATCGACTACAAGCTCCTCAACTCTCACCACCTCCACGTCAACCACGGCATCGCTATCCTCATCGACTCCAAATCAACCGCAACAAACCGGTACCGCCGCCAATTGCGACCAATTCTATCTTGTTCAGATTGGAGACTCGTGCGAAAAGATCGAAGCCGAGTTTGACATCAGCGCGACCCAGTTCCTTAAGTGGAACCCATCTGTCGACTCTGGTAGGTCCTTCCATGTTCTCCGATCTGTGTCCGTACGCCGTGAACCGAAAAGGGGTACAGCTCATAGACACCGATTCCCGTAGCTGATCAGCCTCACAGATTGTTCCAACATCCTGGCAGGCTACTACTACTGTGTAGACGTCCCCGGCACCACCGTTCCCGTTACCACTACAGTACCGGCGACCACCACTACCACCACTCCCGCTGATGGCATCACCACGCCCACGCCCATCCAGACCGGCATGACCGACAACTGCAGCAAGTTTGACCTCGTTCAATCCGGTGACAGCTGCGAAGCCATCGCCGCGAAATACGACATCCAACTGTCCACCTTCTACACCTGGAACCCGGCCGTCGGCTCGTCCTGCGCCAACCTCGACGTGGGCTACTATGTCTGTGTGGAGACTCTGGGCTACACAGCGCCGACGACCACGACAGCCGCCGCCGGCAGCGCCATCACTACCCCGACGCCTTTCGAGCCCGAAATGGTGGCTGGCTGTACCACTTTCTATTTCGTCCTCTCGGGCGATACGTGCCCGTCAATTGCTAGCAGTCACGGCATCACCGTCGCCGATATTGAGCAGTGGAACGCCAAAGTCGGATCCGCCTGCACAGACCTCTGGTTGAATGAGTACATCTGCGTGGGCGTCTGAAAGTCTTATCATATCCCCAAGGGAAGGTGAATGGGGTTGACACAAGCAAAAGGCTTAGTGCGCAGGAGCAGCTTGGATGGAAATTGGGCAGGACGGGCAGCAGCCTTCAACGAGTGTAAAATGTATGAAATGTGATATGTCTTACTATGATTAAGGAAGGTGGGTTGGATTGAATTAGAGGATCTAACGAAGGGTGAGAATGGTTTCCACACTCCGAAAAGGGGGCGAATCGACTATGATGCACGATCAAGCCACAACCTGCGGCCTTAGTATCCCTGTGATTGCTTCTTAACCAGTCTCTTCGATTTTTTCTACTTTCCTGTCCCTCCCTCGCGATTTAGAAAGTTTTATGTAGGTAAAAACGATTTATTAATATATTTCTTATAATGTTGTTCAAAAAGTTGAACAGATTGTATAAGATCTTGAGGCAGTCTAGACACTGGAAACCAAAATAATATGTATCTAAAACGGCATATTGTTTGGTAAAATCAAAATATAAAATCATGTAGACTAGTTATACACAACTTATGTGTGCTGTATATATAAGCTTTTTTAAATTCTATATCAAACCATAAAATTGTATGGAACTGTTGTAGAATAGTTTGTAGGACTTCTTGGTACTCTATGGTCAAAATGTGTGATCTATTATTTTGCCTCTTCCACTTATCGGTTTTTTTGACAATATACTCAAGATTTTCCATGATGACTCTTCATTTTACTATCACTTATTCATAAAACAGCAACTAAGAACAGGCCTAAATTATACTCAGCTGCAGTTAATAAGTGGCTTAAGTACGGTTGAGCGCTCTGTTTTCCCCACCCTGGGGTCACATGTGCTTAAATCTGATAATAAGGTTGACATGTCCGTACAGTAAGGCCGATAATAGCCTTGTAGCCCTAATATCTAATGGTGGATCGCTAGACATGCTAATCCACTTTTCAAATTGGCACCCGCGATGACCACGCAGGTATTTGCACCGGCCAAGTCCATGAGTTGAGACACAAATACTAGAGCACGTAATCGGCCGAAGCCCGTCGGGATAATCCTTCGAGCACCCGCACACACACACACACCCGATAATACAACCACGGCGTGGACTGACGTGACTACCCTCTCCCCATTCCGTCCGACCGGTCCGGCAACAGAACCCAGACAAACACACTCGAGGTAACGTCCACTTCGGTACGCCACAGAAATCAGAAGACGGTCTCAAAATTGTCCTTGGTGAATTCGTAGATGGCGCGGAAGTCGCGGCAGAGATGCGGGTTCCCCATCCCGAAGACGACGGTGCGATGCCGGTCGTAGACGGCCCCCTCCATCGTCGTGTCCCCGGCGCACATGATCCCCTGGCGGATGTAGTCGATGCAGTGGGGCAGGTGGTCGACCTGATCGAGCTCGGAGATGTCGATTTCCTCCCGTCGCCCCTCCTGGACTTTGAGGATGATCTCGTAGATCGTTTTGCGGACGTAGTCCTGCACCACAGGGAACAGGGTCAACGAACATCACGGCATTAGAAACATGCAAAAAAAAGAAATGAACAGAGCTGGCCGACGCGGAGACGAGGCTCAGAGGTCTTACCAGGCAATGGAGCTGGTGAAACATCGAAATCGAGAAGCGTGAATAGCCGTCGCCAGTAGGAAGGCCGGGGGTGAGCTCGTATTTCTGGTAGTCGCGAATGAGGACGAAACCGCGGCCCGCTGTAGGAAGTATCATCCAGGGCATTTTAGTAACATTTATGGGAAGGGAGAGGCTGTCTGCGGTAGGCACTCACGAGGGAGTAGGGCATCCCATGTCTCGTTCAACATTCCACCATCGCGGGTAGGCTCGACGCCAAAGAGTTCATCGTGCCTGAAGCTCTCCAATACGTATGGGACTGTGTTGGAATGGGGAGAAGTTGTCAGTATCCTCTTTGCGTGGGAAAAGACTGCCTGGCCGCATGTGAAGAAGAGGGAAAATCACCATCAGGCACGACCGTGGGCGGTGCAACTGGGATGTGTGTGTGCGGGAAACTGCGGGACCAGAACGCCCCAAGGGCGGCCGAGGCGAGCATCAGGGCGAGTACGAGTATGCTCTTCACTACGATGAGCTGGTAGTTGCGCCAGAATTCGTGGACCACTTCGGAGAGCCACGGGCGGTGAAACGGGGATCGTGGACCGAGGGCATCATCATCGGTTTCAGTCTCGTTTGACAGTTTCGAATACTCTGAGGGCTGGTTCAGGAACTCCATTGTGACGGTTTCAGAAGCAACGAAGTTGAGGTCTTGGCGGCAAGTGCTGCATCGAGCGAGAGCCGTGTGCCTATGTGGGAGGTCGACCTACGCTCGTGTGATTGTTGGTGGGTAGGGACGTGTATTTATAACCTGGTGGGCTGATAAGGAGGGCTATCTTGTGCAGTGAGGGGAGGGTTATCAATCAGAATCTACTGACTAGCGTATAGTTCGAAACGCGTCATTTCGAGTCCTCTGGTCATGCTCATTGTCCTGGTCTCGATGAAGATCACTGTCTCAAGCCTAAAGCCCAATATAACTCCAGAGCACGATAAGATTAGAGCAATGCTATCCCCAATCTACGCTCTTGAAAGCGACTCTGTCATATCTCAACTATCAAAACCAGGTGCGATTGTACTGGCGCTCACGATCGATTTGAAAACGACTAATAGCATCATAGTCGACACACTCATGCTCCACCCCCCAGCCAGACACCGTCGTTGCCACGCCCTCGTCTGGAACAAACAGCGGTGTATATCCTTCGATCTCAAAAATAGCATTGCCACAGAGGACACTCTGGCGTAGGTACTCAAAGCAATGGTCGACATGCACGTTCCATTTATTTTCCGTGTAATGGGGCGTGCTGGGCCCTCCGGTCTTGATCTGCCAGTAGTGGGCGCGAATATGATTCTTTTTTTTGAATCGATTAGCCTTAATAAACTCAGACCTGCTCACTGAGGAAACGTACCAAGCAATGCATCTGGTGCATGATGGACAAGACGTAGAAGTCTTGTGGGGGTGGACTCGGTCGATTGGGGTGGTAATAGGGCGACGGCATTCCCGGCGGCAGATTGTAGTCACGTTGTTCATGCTCGGTCATATAGAGGACGTCGTGAGCTACCAACCTATTAGCATTGATCTCTCTGATTACCACGGTCGTCAACTGAATGTACCCGCGATCAGAGCCTCCCAGTGGTCGTTCGCCTCCTCGGACGGTCCAACATAGCGCCCATCCATCTGAAAGCTGCGTTTGACGGTCTTGAACACCGAGGCCGGCAGGGGAGACTTGCGGTCTGCGGTCTGCACGGGTGCTGTCCGAACCCAGAGAGTGATTGCCAGGAGCCATCCCACCACCAAGAGGAAGTAGAGGACACACTGAACCGTTGTCCGGCGAGCTGTAGAGAACTCCGATGCTTTCTCCAGATCAACGTCCACTGCTTCGATCTCTTCATCTTGACCCCCTTCCGCGTAGGAGGAGAGAAAGGGTTGTTTGGCCTTTGAGTCCTCCATCGTGGTGTTTGTGCTTCGAATGAGAAGCGGCCAGGAAGCTGTCGTCCCGAGCCCCAAATGACTTGTTGGGAAGAAGAATGGGCTCTGGTCAGAAGGTCTTGATTTGAAATCAATCGCGTGTCTTTCTGCATGTCTTAGATTGAGGAGACATGAGCATGTACGAGTTTCCCAGTTTGGAGCATCATATCCACCTTGATACATAATGCTGGTATTGCCGCAATACAATACAACCCGGTAAGTTGCCTTGAAAGATATATAGTACCATACTGGAGCTAGGTATGAAAGACGGTACGGTAAGGTATGTACATTTCCGTGATAAGTGGGACATGCGACAAGCTTATCTTCATGGTCTGAGCGCTGCTGCGTCTGCAAAAAATCAAGCTTTGGCCATGTCCCTGTTCTCCACCTCCAATTCTTGATTAGACGCAGCCAATCGGTGCAATCTGGAGCTGCAGACAGATTCACCGTCTATGCTCGGAGTCACACTGTCATCGCATTCGGGAATGTCCCATAGACAGTTTGTTTGGCTGAGGCCCTATCTACTACCTCTTGTTAGGTTCCCCGCAGCTTGCATTAGACGGATCAAACCGATATGTACAGTTTCGATCGACAAAGCAGAAATGTGCCAAAAGGAACACACAAAGAACGCAGACTGTTGAATCGCAATTATGCAAGTGAAATCTTCGGTCTGTACTAGATAGCGTGACACTCGGACTCTGCGACTTGGATCTTCCCGGTTGCCTTGTCCTCCAGATAGTCCTCAATGCGCAACCCCCCCACCTCATCCTCCACGACTAGCGCCGCCCCGCGAAAATCGCTCAGATTCCTCCCAATCGTCCACTCAAGCAATTGGTCATACTTCTTACAGGTATGAATGGTGTCCACGCGAGGTCGCATGCTCTTGGTGGCGTCATTCCACTGCACCGGGATAATTGAGGTGTCGGCCGAGCACATGAGGGACTGGCGGACTTGATCGATACAGTGATCTGGCAGGTGAAAGTTAGCAGCTTGTCACACAGGGACTTTCGTATCCTTGAAATGTATACCTATGTGGAGCCATGTACAGTAATCCAATGTTCCGTCTTTGTGATACATGCTCCGGCCGTAGCGCTCTGGATAAAAGGCCTGGCGAATAAAGTTCTAGCGACGGCATGAGCAATTGAGATTACCTCGCTATCGTACAGCAACCAACCAACATACCAGGCAATGCAACTGGTGAAAGACATCGAGGACGACCATGTACTGGTCTTCGAGCCCGGGTTCGGCGACGCGAGAGGTTACATTGGGGAGCTGCATGGCCGCTTCCCGGTCCACGTATGTGAACAAGCCAGCTGTTTCTCGCAGACACTAGTGGTGAGCATTCCACGCACACTGGGTGACAAGAGCTGGGCTCACAGTGGTAGGACTCGAGCCAGAGTCGGTCTTTCTCATCATCGGGCCAGCCTTGGAAGGGGGATTTGTCGTCCCCGCGGCTGCGGTAGAAGGTGCGGGTCTCGTACTCCACTAGGGGGTTGACCGGTGCTGTTTGTGATGTGAGCATGGCACTCAAGTTACACTCATTCTTTTCACAAGTTACATACAATAGAGAAGAAGCTCTGGATGTTGTTCGGGCAGCCAGAGCCTGGGTGTAACGAGCAGGATGAGAAGAATTGTGACGAGACACCACGGCAATGCTAAGGGTAGGGTGCGTTGGAAGACAGATCTCTGCTTGGGTGGATGAGCACAATGAGGGCAAGCCACCTCACCATCTCTCGTTCCAAGAAGCGTTTCTTCCTCTTCGAGGGCTGGTGGATTCATGGTGTCTGTCTGCATTGTCGATGCTGTCCAAGGTCGGATTCATCTTCGCCTCGGTAAATAAATGGATAATCCGAAGAGAGGAGGTTCATGACGGCGCCAATCCTGCAGGACCAGCTGCTTCATTCCGGCACATCACCCTGCCTGAACCATGCATGAAGCTATTGGTAAGTATCATGCGCACAAAGAGTCTGTTTTATTACATACGTGGTAAATTACATGTATGTTTCCACTAATGTCATGTAAGTATACATACTCATACCTTGCTCCGAGTCTCAATCTCGGACTAGACAACGGGCCCGGAGCACTGCTTGAACTACAAGATATGCAGTCTGGCCATGAAAAATATCGCAGCCGCACAATCAAGCACCAGGCTGGATGCACCTACCAAGGAATCCCAACTCATCTGCTCCGTTTGGCCTTCAGTACGCATATAGTGAGATTTAATAAATTCTCCGGCAGAGCAGAGAGCGGATGAACCCGCGACAGGTGTAAGAACTACCACCATCGAAGATGAAGACAGCTGCCGACCCGTGGTGGATGCTGGCGCTGACTTGTGGCCTTGGAGGGTGCGCGTGCCCCGCTTTTTCTCGAAGCCATTCCTGACAATCTCTCAAGGCTCCAGGTCCTCTGGACGACGATGCAATCCAATGGCACGGTGAGATTCCAATCCAGAGCGCCTGTAATCTGTTACTAACCCAGATAGTCTTTCCTCCTGTCTCTCGGGTTGCCCGCCCCCCTCACAGCCTTCGCCTGGGTGTCCGCCCCTCTCGCGGGTACTTTTGTGTATCCCTGGATGGGAAGCCTGAGCGACCGATGCAAGTCTCGTTACGGTCGTCGCCGGCCCTTCATCCTGCTCGGAGCAGTGGCGGCGGTCCTACTTTTGGCCTCGTTGGCCTGGGTGGAGACTGTAACTCGTGCTCTCTGTCTTCCTTTGGGAGTGGATGAACCTATGGTCCAGAGAGTGATCCCAGTGACTGCACTGATCCTGATTTGGTTGTTGAACTTTGCCATCCAGCCCCTTCAGATGGGGTTGCGCGCTCTCAGTGTGGACGTCTGTCCCGGCACCGAGCAAGCTCGAGCCAATGCGTGGGCAACAAATTGCATCGGAGTCGGCAGGATCCTTGGTTATGTCTCCGCATACAGTGTCAGGCTTGGCCCAACGCCTGCCGAGCAGTTTCAGGCGATGGCTCTCATAGCAATCTTGTGCCTATGTGCTACAGTCGCTTACTGCTGTGCGGTGATCGAGGAGTCGCATCATACTCCCCAAGCCACTTCTACGAGGTTAGCGATGTCGCCTAGACGTTGGCTCTCAGTTTATCGTGCCTTGCCATCCGGTTTTCGTCTCCTTTGCCAAGCCCAGGTGTGGGCTTGGATGGCATGGTTCTCTTTCTTGTATTATTCTACGATGTAAGTTGTCTCCTCTAGTGGATGGGAAAATGTTGAGCTGCGTGGCTGACACCGGGGGAAAGCTACATTGAAACACTAAGTGCGTACATCGTTAACGGAACAGCGTCTCTATACTAATCTTCATCCAGATAAGATGTCCTTCCAATTCAGCGGCAATATCATTGTGTCTACGCAACAAGGAGTTGTGTTTGGACTCGCCTTTGCCATTGTGGCTTTGGGCACCGCACTCACTTTGCACGGCCTCATGAATCGGTCAAAAAGCAAGCATGAGCAAGCTCTTGCGAGGTACGGCATTTGGAAGCTCCTGGCCGGAAGCCATGTGACCTTTGGGTGTGTTTTGCTGGCCACTATACTCGTAGACCAGTGGATCCCTTCAGCAGTCATTCTCTGTCTTTGCGGTATACCTTGGTCGTTGCTGCTTTGGGCACCTTACACGATTATCGGAAGTGAGTTTGCGGGATTTAACGGGGATCCAGATGGCTGCGCAGAGCGTATCGAGGCGCGAAACCTTGACATCGGCGTAGTATTGAGTGTACATAATATCTGCATTTCGTTGCCACAGGTCTTTGCTGCCGTGCTGGATGGAGGAATCATCTGGGCCGCGGGGAGAATGGGGTCCCAGAACAGTGCCGGCTGGGTTTTAAGACTGGGAGCGGCAGGCCCTCTTATAGCGGCCTATCTTACCATTAAAATGGTTCGATATTAGTATAATTGAAATGCTTGCTTAAAATCACTCAATTCACGGCAACAATAAAGCAAACTAGTGGAGAAGTCTGCTCTTGCATAGTAGATTCCGGCAAACTAGAATCTACACACAGATATGTACGCTGGCCTGCATGACTCGCTATGTACATTCCTGGCCGTCGCTGCATACATTCATCGACGGCTACCTGAACACACCATCTCCCGACACCTCTGACTATCGAATTGATTCACACCTGGCGAAACAGCTACACACCACCTCTCACATTCCTTGGTTCAGTTTCCAGATTTGAGCCCTTCCACCTTGACTCTGGAAAGCATCAGCAAGCTGTCATTCCAAGACTCCAGTCAGGACCTACCGATGGTGGCTGAGCTTAGTGCTTCTTGGTCTCATACTCTCCATAATTCTTGGTCCAGATAATTTCGCGCGCGGGGTCGACAACAGCCCCGTCTTCTTCACGTTTCTCATACTCTCCGTAGTTCTTGGTCCAGATGATTTCGCGCGCGGGGTCGAC